TGGGCTGAGCGAGAAGCTGGCGGGCTGGCGGGGTGTGGGCAGAGGCACCTGCTGCGCGGCCCATGCCTCCGGGTTCGTAGCACCTTCTGCGCGGGATGCGCGTACGGGCACTTTACGTGCCCTGAGGTTTTCCCTGGGTCCTTAGGAGAAGCGCAGCGTTGGTCGGACTGCCGGGCAAGGGAGTCGTGTCGAGCCCAGTCCACTCGGCAGCCCACCCCAAAGCCTTAACATTGCGGAGCAGCAGTTCCCCTGCACTGGGCCCCGGGGTGTGCGCTCCCGGGCTTTGGAAGCTCCGTCTTTGGCGCCCTGGCCGGATCTCCCCGAGGGCGGCTGCTTCATGAGTGTACTGTTGGCCTGCAAGGAGCTGGCCAGTATGCACGTAAGATTCTTGATCCTGATTTCATCACCGGGAGGAAAAGAGAATTCAGCCGTGCTTTGTGCCGTAGCCCAGGACCAAAAAGGCCTTCTTGGCTCCAGCTTCATGAAGAGAGCCCAGTTCTCATTCCCTCATCCCCACAAGATCTCCAGCTTGGATGTCTCTCCCGGCCAGGTGTTAAATCCCAGCCAGTCGTTAAATCCCAGCCAGTCTTGGGCCCCTCGATCTTCCAGGCCTCCCTTCCTTCTCTGTTGTGCAGCATAGTGACTCCCTCTTACGGGGTGGGCGTGGGGAGTCACTGATGTGTGCACAGCCCTCCGTGTGTTACCTGCCATCTCCACCACAAATAACCAGGTGGCCATGCTTGCCTTGCAAGAGCTGGCCCCTCAGACCTTAGGTGACTTCTTTGATGGCCAAGCACTGGGGGCGCAGTACACTGGGGTTATGTTAGTCTCCTGGGGCTGCTGTAACAAAGTACCACCAACTGGGTGGCTTAAAACAATGGGAACTTAATCTGTCCTACTTCTGGAGGCTAGAAGTCTGAGATCAGTATCACTGGGCTGAGGTCCAGTGTGGCAGGGCCTCTCTCCTTCCCTGGGCTCTAGGGGAGGGTGCCTTATTGCTTCTCCCAGCTGCTGGTGATGGCCACAGGCCTGGCTGTCCTTGACTTCCTGTTTCTGCCGCTGTGGTCTCATTCCTTTTCCTCTGTCTCTATGTCTCTTCTTTTTTTTTTTT